GGGGGGGGGGTGGCGAGAGGGAGAGAGGTGAAAGGGAGAGGAGGGGAGGAGCCGGCCCGGAAGAGGGAAGGGGCTTCGCCAGGGGACGACGGGGAGTGGGAGCTGAGACGAGGGGGGCGAGCGGCACCAGGGACAAGGGAGGTGGGTGCCAGACAGGCGCCGCCGGTGCCTGCGGACGGCCGCCTTTTACGGCACTGCCTGGGCCCATTCTGCGCACCAGCCCTGGCGGAGGGAGGAGCGGGGGGGGGGGGGGGGGAGGGGGGGACGCGACGCACCGAGAGCCCAGCTACCGCCGCTCCGGGGCCGAGGGTCGCACCGCAGCCGGAGTCCGTGGGCGGGATCTTGAATGGGCGTTGGCACATGCGGATCCCATGTGCTGGTGGCCGGCCGGAGGCGCGGGCGAGGGGGATCCCGGCCTAGCCAGATGGCGGCGGCGGCGGCGGCGGCGGCGGCCCGAACATTTCTTTTTGGGGGTTGGTGGGGGGGGGGGGTCCCCCGGTTCCGGGCGCGGCGGTGGCAGGGGCTCGCGGCCGGCGACCCTATTCATCAGTCCGCGCGTGTCTGGAGCTCCGCTCCTCGCAGCGTGGAGCGAAAAGGGCAATCACCCTCTCGACCTTGATCTCGATTGCCGGTGGAAGCTTTCGCCCCTCTTCTCCCCTTGTTGCTTGCCCTCCCCCCCCCCTCCCCCTTTCCGCGCCCGCCGTCGTCCTTTCCCCCGGATCCCCCCCTCCCTCCCTAACGGCCCACCTTGCGTCGGACATGGCCACTCGCCGGCTCCTGCCCGTCGGCAGCGGACCGTCTGCCCTGGGACGGCTGTTGACCTGCTCATTGGGTCACTCTCGACCGACGGCACTGTTCTCCGGGTCTCCCCTTGTGCGGTCCTTCGCCACGGGTGCCGCTCCAATGGTCGATGCTGGTACGCCCCCTGACCCTGAGGCTTTCGCACTCGATCCCCACTCAGCCGGCCCTCTGACACATTGCCTTCGCACTGGTGGATGTGTGCAGCGCCCGCCGCCGAGGCTGCCCTTCCAGGGTCAGCCGACGCCGCTTCTCCCCCGGTGGCCCGGGCAAAGAAGCCGGCCAAGCCCCCGAAGCCGGTTCCTGTCAAGATCACCCTGCGCGATGAGGACCTCCAGGAGCAGTTTGTTCGGGGCTTCGGCAACGGCGGCCAGAAGGTCAACAAGACGTCCAGCTGTGTGATTCTGTCGCACGCGCCGACCGGCATTGTCGTCAAGGTGTGTCCGCTGCCTTTTTCACGCTTGTGCATGCACTTCCCCCTGTGTGCTTACCTCCTCCTCCCCCCCCCCCCCCCACACCGACCTCCCCTCCATTTCCCATGGAATGGCAACACAGTGCCAGAAGACCCGGTCCCGGGAGCAGAATCGCAAGGAGGCTCGGAAGATCCTGATCGGCCTTCTGGACCAGCGGATCAACGGAGACCTCTCCAAGCAGGCGCGCAAAATGGACAAGATTCGGCGGCGGAAGAGCCGCGCCGACCGCCGGTCCCGCGCCAAGTACGACACCGCCACCGCGGCCGCCGGAACGGCCGCCGGGCAGGCCGCCTCGGTCTCCGACGCCCGAGACCATGACAGTGATGACGATGGCGGGGAGGAGGAGTACTCGGACACGGAGTTCGACTCCGACTTCGACTCCGACTCCGACTCCGCCTCGGGCCCTGACAGCGATGCTGAACGGGCGGATGGCAGGTCATCCGGGCCGATGATCCGGACCCCCGGCGCGGCATTTGCCCCTTCCGCTCCTGTGTTGTTTTCGCACCCGCCGCCGGACCGGCAGGACTCGGCCATCACCTCGGGTCTGGCCCAGAGCCCAAGCGAGCAAGCCGATGCCTCGGACTCCGAGGTGCCCTGGGATGCGCACATTCCCTGGGACGCGCACCTTTACTGGGATGCCAATGTCGAGACCCTCGCGGGCTCTCCTCCTGGGCCGACACCATCCGCGGCCGACCAGACACCGGTGCCTGTGGAGGGGTCTGGCAAACCGCTCGACATGGTGCCGGAGATGCTGCACTCCATTTTGGGCGAGGCGGCCAGCCGGGATATCCCCGAGCAGGACTTCAACCTGGCGGACTTCCTGTCCGAGGAGGACCGCTTGCAGCTGGCCCAGCTGCAGGCGCGCGAGGACCAGGACAAGAAGGCCATCCAAGAGTTGTCATCTTTGTCTGACAGTCCGGAGGCCCTCCTCCAGGAAGCCATGCTCCAGGTAAGCCAGATATATGCCTCGCAGCTGGCTGCTGCCCACAGCTTGGTCGAGGTTCTGCGTGAGGCTCTGGCCCCCCTGGACACAGGCATTGCCCCAACCCCGGCGGCCGAGGATGTCGAGGCGCCCATCTCGCTGGATCTGCTGATGGAAATCCTTGCCCTGGTGGAGCTGATGGACTCGCCTGCCCGGGCGGCGGAGCTGCATTTGGCGAACCAGCGCGGGCGACGGACCTCTTCCTTGCCGAATATCGAGCTCCCCCGGGACCTGTCTCCGGAGGAGCAGGAGTTGGTGGTGCTCCTGCCGGTCATCCATGACACGCTGGTGGAGCGGGTCGCCGAGAGGCTGGATGCCGGTGCCGGGAGGAACTACTCCGGCGAGGAGCTTCGACAGCTCTCGGAAAGCTTGGACTGGGAGCGAGGCGAGCGGGCCCGGCGTCTTGAAGCCCAGCGCCAGAAGGAGCAGGCCGCCCTGCAGGAGAAGGAGCGCCGGGCAAAGGAGGCCTCCGAACGGTCGCGCAGAGGGCCGCCTGTCCGTGGCGCCAGGCGTCTGGACCGGAATCAGCACACGGCTCTGGAGGCTGCGAAGCCGGGCCCCAGCCCCCATGGCGTCTCACCGGAGGTGCTGGACATCCTGTCGGGTGCAATGCGCGGCGGCGCCGGTGGTCGAATGGGCAACTGGCCCGGGCTGCCTCCTGGCATGACGGCGGTCATGCCCCCGCCCGCTCCTCAGATGCCGCCGTCCAGTCCCTTGACCGGCCCTCCGCGGTCGGCCTCCAACCGGCAAATGGTCGACAATTTGCTGCAGCAGGCGCGAACCCTGCACCAGGTTGGGAAGGGCGGCCAGCGTGGCGGCGCCAGCGGCGGCATGCGTGGCGGCGGCGGCGGACGCGGTGGCGGGGCGCGCGGCGGCGGTGGCGGCCGGCGCTACTACAGCACATCTGCCAGCGCACCCCCCCCTTCGGAGGGATATGTGCTCCGTCTTCTGGGGACGCCAACCTGCCAGTTGTGTGACCTATCGGCCGAGGCGCTGGTCGCTGCGGCGCACCGGGTTTTCCCTCGTCCGGCTGACGCGCCGCCGGCTCGCTTCGGCTGGGAGTACCGGTGGCCGGAGCACGCCCCGGTGCATCTGGAGCGGGTGGACCTGACGGCGGAGCACTTCCGCGGGACTCCCCTCCAGCGGCGGCTCATCCTCCATGTGCCGGTGTTGCTTTTGGCCGACGCCAAGGCCGACTCGGATGCCTGGACGCCGGCCTGTCGGCTGTTCCCGGACGCCCTGGCTCACGATCTCGGCCTAGAGGTGTCCCGCCATCGGGTATCCGAGGAAGTGGCGCGCACGCTTCTTGAGACCTTGGCTGCTGGGGGCTCCAGCGACCCGGATGCCGAGGTGGACTAGCTGCAGGGCTGTCGATTTGTGGCGTGCCGTTAGCTGGTAGGCCAGAGCGGAGAAGGGGTGGGACCCCCCCCCCGCCCTGTGCCAACATCCAGGCCTCTCCCCCCCCCCCCCCCCCCTGTCGCACTTGATGACCATAGAATAGAGTGGAGTGGGCTGCATGAGTCAAAAGAAGCACATGCGGCTTGAGAGGCCGGTGGCTGGGGAATTGTCTAAGTGTAGTAGCGCGCGTGCATGGCGCCAGGAATGTGTACAGAGGAGGGTGCGGCCGGGTGGGCGGGCGGGAGGAGGACGTGGAGCCCGCCTCCCTCGGGGTGGCAAAGCAGCGCAAGGGGAGGAGAGGGAGAGGGGATATGCGCATGGGGGCAGCGCAGGGAGATCCCTCGCCAGCAGCAGACCGTGGCATCGTGAAAAGGGCGACCGGACAGGAAGAGGCACTTTGGGAGCCCCTAGAAACGAGCGTTGTTACGGTCAATGTAGTTGATGAGCTCCTTGACAGTCATGGAGGTGGGGTTGATCTTGGAGATCTGGTTGTCGGCTGCCATTTCGGGGAAAGGGTGGCACAGGGAGGACGAGGCGTTAGCGGATGGACGAGAGACGGCCTCAAGAGAACGCGGAGAGCGGAGAGCGGAGAGCGAGGGGGAGGCGGAGAAAGGCATAGCCGAGGGCACAAGAGGCCGGGAACGTACTCCAAACAACCTCGATCACCGGTTCAGACATGTCGCTCTTGACAACGGGCTTGACCTCGCAACGGCCGTTGGTGTTCCGGCACTTGTCAGTCATGACCTGAGACAGGAGAGCGCTGCGGTTGCGCGGCGTGGCAGCAGGGGCGGAGCGAAGGCGAGGAGGAGGGGGACAAATAGTCAGACAGGGAGGCCGATTGGAGCAAGGCTGTATGGCAGACGGGGAGGAGCATGGGGGAGGGGCTCCCTCGGGGAGGAGGTCACACTTACCGGGTGGATGTCGACTTGGGATGGAAAGGAGAAAAGGTGAAAGTGATCGACTTCATGTTGTTCAGGCGCAACAGGTACGAGGGCTTGATAATACCCATGATGGGAAGGGGGGAGGGCAGCCGAGCCTGAGCGAGCAGACAAAAGCAAACAAAGGTGGCGGGAGGGGAGAGGGGGAGAGGACTACTTTGCGGAGTGGAGAAGGTGCCCCATCTGGCAGCCGGCTGTTGAATTTGCTCGTCGACGTGGGTAGATCGACGCACACCAGAGGGCACCCAGGGGGGGGGGGAGGGAGGTGAAGCACAGGCATGTCGGCCCTCCGCGACGCGAGGGGCCAGGCCGGCGACGGAGGGCCGCGCACACGCCCGCAAGAGCGCCCAACTGCCGATGGATGTGGCCCTGGCTTTCCCTAAATATTGCACGTGATTTCCAACTACCAGCGCATAGCATTGGGTTGGGGTTTACGAAAGTGGGCGCGGTGCCGCAAAGAGAGGGGAGTCTATTGTACGGTGTATTGGGTTGGTAGGTGTGCCCCACAGGAGGTGGGTGCATCTCTCCCCTTCAGAGGGAGGGAGCTGGCTGCGCTCTGGCAGGGAGGAGGGGGG